TCTTCCTTTGGGTTCTACCTTCAGGTTACGTCTGGGACATCCTGCTCTCGGTTGCCTACCGGTAATAGCCAAGCACCTGCATAGGTGGTTTTTTGTTATTTTAATATCAACCGAAAACAATTTAGCCAGGAGGGTTAGTACACAAATTAATTCTCTATAACCTAACCTCCAGGACTTCTTATTGATTTTTATATATACTAAGTGACATATAAATCCGAACACCCAGTTTAAATCGTTTTATTTTAATAAAATTTCGTATAAGTACTTAATGAAGCATAATAAGTAAATAATTGCACTGCTTTAAAGCCCTTTGACCTTTAATAATGTGTGGATGCACCCTGATGTGCTACGCATTCTCCAGCGCGCCTAGGCATGCTTCTGATCAGGTGGTCAATGTCCTCCTGTGGTATCTCATTCCAGGCAACCACCAACTCCTCTTGAAGAGCTTCTAGAGTCTGAGGAGGACGTTGCAAATTGAGCAATCTCCTACCCATCATATCCCACACGTGCTCAATTGGGGATAAGTCGGGAGATTTTGGTGGCCATGGTAACAAAGTGACATCATTATGTTGGAAGAAGTCTATTGTGACTCTTGCAACATGTGGTCGGGCATTATCTTGTTGGAAAGTTGGATCTGCCAGGGTGTCAAGATAGGGTAAAAGATGGGGTTCTAGAACTTCGTGGATATAACGCTGCGCGTTTATGTTACCTCTGATGAAGATTAAAGGTGACCTGGAATCATAAGCTATAGCACCCCAAACCATAACTCCAACAGTGTGATGAACATGTCTTTCAACAAAAAACTGTGGATTCATCCTTTCACCACGTCGCCTTTTAACCCTGGCACGACCATCGTGCATGCCTAAACAAAATCGAGACTCGTCACTAAAGACAATACTGTTCCATTCCTGATCCCAGAGTGACCGTTGTCTGCACCACTCAAGGCGATTACGTCGGTGTTCTCGAATTAAAGGGAGGACCCAGTGTGGCCGGTATGAAAACAAGCCAAAACCTTGTCGGTAAACACTTCGCATGCCAATAGGTCTTCCGTGTTCTGCAAACCATTCATTTGCGATGGACCTGGTAGTGGAGAAACGGTCCCTTAAAGCCAATAATCTTAGGCGGCGATCTTCTCGGTCTGTTGTTCTACGGCGGCGTCCAGTGCCCCTTGCTCTTTGCGTACGGCCTTCTCGAAGCCATGCCTGACAACACCTAACCACAGTGTCTACACTTCTTTGCACTCTAACTGCAATTGCCCGAAAAGAAAGTCCAGCTTCCCGAAGTCCCACTATACGGCCCCTATCACTCTCACTCAGTTGACGAAATCGTACAGGTCTCCGTACTCTAGGCATCGTAACCGATTGTAAAGGATGTCAAGAACCAAAATCCGCCAACGTTGATTCTTTACTGCGGCTGAAATATTCATTTTTAGAGCGTTAGTGAATTAAAAAAAAGCAGTATAAAAACCGGAATGTCCAACTGATAAGGCTGAAAATTTTTTCACTTGTTATTTACAGTAAGATAAATACATTCACCAACTTTTATTAAAATAAAACCATTTAAACTGGGTGTTCGGATTTATATGTCACTTAGTATATAATAAACGTCTGTGTGCTTTGGGAGTTTGTGTTTCCTTAGATCAAAAGACCAATAAGTTGTTACTTTTTATTTCATTACCTAGCTTTTGAGTTCAATGTGTACTAGAAGTATTTATAGAAGGAGATAGAAGCTGGCTGGATAGCGAAGATCATCATCGCGTTGCCTAGCAACACTGACGCGGCAATGTACCGCGTTGCCAGAATATCACACTAATTCCTTGAATTAAGATTAGTTCATTCTTTATGCCCAGGTAATGCTTTTATCTTGATCGTTCACATTTTTAAATTGTGAACTGTGTCGAATCTGTTTAGGATCGATTCTGGATCGGACTCAATTGCGTTCCATTTTAGGTAGAAATGAAAGCTCAGGATCGGCACAAATTCTGCAAAATTGCATCACTGGTTCGCTTGGCAACACCGCATCTTGTACATTCCAAGGCAAGGTTTCCACCTCCATGATCATAGATGAACGATTTTGGACATTTTCCATCTAGCGCTCATTGGGGAGTGTCAACCTGCATCGTAATGGGTTTGACCTGCATACACACAGGCAGTGATAATTTGGTATTTATCACATTTTCCGAACTATTGTAGAAGCCTTTGTGAACATTTACTGGTGGTAACGCGACAGATTGCACGACCTTCTGCATCACCGTTGCTGGGCAATGTGGTGATGACCTTCGATCTTCAGCCTGCTTCTGTTTCTTTCTAACATGAGTTGATACACACTTCTCGCTCTTCCCTGTCGTACACATTGAACGCAGGCCGTCACAGAAATTTCGTTTTCCCTGTATATTAAGGATTTGGTATATGGATTCCTGGGGAACTTTACTTGCTACATGAAGCAGACGTTGTAAGAAGGAAAGACCCTGTCTATTACAGACTCACTACCACATCAACGGCAGCGACCAGTTCGCGACAGGCTTGAACCTTCAAACCTTATGGGCAAATGTACAGAAAAGTAGTAATGATAATGATTAGCGTTTTCTTTATGTGTAATAATATTACCATACGTGTGAAATATATCTATTCAATTACCGCGGTTAGAAACGTATACGTTACGCAAAAAATTGAGTACCACCAATCTTTACCCCTCAAAAATGTTTTCAAAAATGAGCAAGAATTTCTGTTTGGGCGATATATACTAAGTGACATATAAATCCGAACACCCATTTTAAATGGTTTTATTTTAATAAAAGTTGGTGAATGTATTTATCTTACTGTAAATAACAAGTGAAAAAATTTTCAGCCTTATCAGTTGGACATTCCGGTTTTTATACTGCTTTTTCTTAATTCACTAACGCTCTAAAAATGAATATTTCAGCCGCAGTAAAGAATCAACGTTGGCGGATTTTGGTTCTTGACATCCTCTACGATCGGTTATGATGCCTAGAGTACGGAGACGTGGTACGATTTCGTCAACTTAGTGAGTTTGATAGGGGCCGTATAGTGGGACTTCGGGAAGCTGGACTTTCTTTTCGGGCAATTGCAGTTAGAGTGCAAAGAAGCGTAGACACTGTGGTTAGGTGTTGTCAGGCATGGCTTCGAGAAGGCCGTACGCAAAGAGCAAAGGGCACTGGAACACGGAAGACATATTGGCATGCGAAGTGTTTACCGACGAATGAGAAGTTTTGGCTTGTTTTCATACCGGCCACACTGGGTCCTCCCTTTAACCCGAGAACACCGACGTAATCGCCTTGAGTGGTGCAAACAACGGTCACTCTGGGATCAGGAATGGAACAGTATTGTCTTTAGTGACGAGTCTCGATTTTGTTTAGGCATGCACGATGGTCGTGCCAGGGTTAGAAGGCGACGTGGTGAAAGGAGGAATCCACAGTTTTTTGTTGAAAGAAATGTTCATCACACTGTTGGAGTTATGGTTTGGGGTGCTATAGCTTATGGTTCCAGGTCACCTTTAATCTTCATCAGAGGTAACATGAACGCGCAGCGTTATATCCACGAAGTTCTAGAACCCCATCTTTTACCCTATCTTGACACCCTGGCAGATCCAACTTTCCAACAAGATAATGCCCGATCACATGTTGCAAGAGTCACAATAGACTTCTTTCAACATAATGATGTCACATTGTTACCATGGCCACCAAGATCTCCCGACTTATCTCCAATTGAGCACGTGTGGGATATGATGGGAAGGAGATTGCTCAATTTGCAACGTCCTCCTCAGACTCTAGAAGCACTTCGAGAGGAGTTGGTGGTTGCCTGGAATGAGATACAACAGGAGGACATTGACCACCTGATCAGAAGCATGCCTAGGCGCGTTGGAGAATGCGTAGCACATCAGGATGCATCCACACATTATTAAAGGTCAAAGGGCTTTAAAGCAGTGCAATCATTTTGAAATTTTTATCATTTACTTATTATGCTTCATTAAGTACTTGTACAAAATTTTATTAAAATAAAACCATTTAAACTCGGTGTTCGGATTTATATGTCACTTAGTATATATTTTCTTTGTCATAATGCCGTTTACTGTTTCATATTATCTACGTCCCTACGAGATCGAAATGAAATTATTTGATATGAAAAACTAAAAACAAACTAGTCTTGAACATCTCAAGTATTTCGGATGGCGGTGCCTCGCTTGACACATCTGCATAATATTGACTGCAGCTGACACATAGATGACTTCCATCCTCTAAGGACGAAATGTAAGATCTTGCTATGACTAAACTCGCAGCAGGTCAACATTATATGAAGGGTACAGGGGAAAAAAGATGATTGTCAGAAAAAGTTAGAGACAAAACATTTTTCAGCAGAAAATCCTTTTTATTTTTGTATTCTGAGATTCTTCTTATCATTTTAAACATTTTTTATGTGTTAGTGATATTGAGGCTAGAAAATGCCTATCTTAGGTTTTACGTTCTGTTCAGATATGTAAACAACCTTGACCGGAAATTTATTACACATCCCCTAGGTCACGAATAAAAGGTGATCTTCTAATCTGAATAGCTCTAACACTTCTAAGTATTGTTTTAATTGGGATAAGAAGAAACAATGAACCAAATAAAGCTTTATTCAAAAGAATATAGAATAAACTAAACAAAATTAATGGATTATGCTTAAAAATGACTACTTAACGTTTATGTCTTTGGTCGCAGATTGGTGTATGGTGTAATAGCTTTGGTGACGATCAGTGGACGTATATTTTTTTCATTCAACGACTTTGACATTGATCTTTCTTCCCCGTACAGTTAAGCAATGTCATTGTTTTTGCCTGTTTTCGATACCTGATGAGATTTTACTGCGTTAAGGCATTCATCTTTTTACTCTTTCCTCCCCTGTACCCTTCATTTGCAGTACTGAGTGCAAGCGGCATTTTATAATATTAAAGATGAAAAACAATCATCAAAGTCAGGCTCTTCATACCTAGTAATTTCCTGTATGAAGTGCTATCCTAAAGCGACACTTCCACTGAAAGTCGAAATACGTCCACAAAAGTACTATAATTACACTAATATTGACAAGGAAAAAGCGACACACACAAAGACAAAGACAGATTGTACAATAGCGTCATTAGAAGAACATTCTGCTGAATTTGGGCAGCATAGGATGAGTGCGTTTCCGGGTAACAGCTACAATAGTTTAACCGTACCGGCGAGGCGCGAGCAAAACTCTTGCTGTATGGCTCCACTGGGGTTAAATCCAGACTGGAAAACCCCACAGCATCCCTGCACTCTGCGACGAAGCGCTGCGAGAGGGGAAGCGTACGGCGATGGAGGGGCAATAGGGGCGCTGTCCGCCAGTATCTGATGTCTGATGCGACCGGGATCAGGCCAATTTCCGTAACCTATGTCACTACTCTTATTTTGGGTCGAGGTAAGTTGATTGAAGGGCCAGTTGTACAACACAATAGTGCGGACTTGAGTTCAAGCTTGACAAAACTTCAACGACAGATTCGTTGACTCGACTTCTTCTACTCACCGCCCAAAATTTACTGAGGTTTTAGTTAGCACACCAGCGAATCTCTTTAACAAAAAATGCCAAAGATAGTTTATACGATTATGAAAATTGTATGAAAGAAACATTCAATGTAAAATAAAGAATAAATCATAGTTTTAGATAATCAGATCATTGAAGAAGTGCTAATCTAGTCTCATCTCTTATTGAAAGATTTGAATGTGAAGTTGCGACTTGAATATTAACTTCTTCGATTGTAGTAGTCTTGAATGTGTCTTTGTCTCTAACATTCTTGAAGATTTGAATCTGCATCAAATAGTTGATCATGAAACCAGGGTCACGAATAACAGTAGTACCTTAATAGATGTCGTTTTCGTTAGTGATGAAGTTAAGATTGCTAATAAAGGAGTTGTGAATCTTCCTGCGGTGTCCGATCACTATCTAGTTTATTTTTGTGTGGAATGTGAACCAGCCGTTAGAGATACAAAATATGTACAGACCCGTGATTTAAGGAATATTGATGAGTCTCTTTTGAATGAGGTAGCGTCTGATATGCACTGGCTAGGTGTTATCGACTATGATGACATTGAATCAAAGCTGCAACATTTTTACAGCCTTATTGATGATCTGCTAAATATATGCGCACCAATCAAAACCAGGAAGATATCAAAAGCACGTTGTCCCTGGATTACACACAATATTAAATTCATGATGCGGTTACGCAATAATGCCTATTCTAAGTATAAGAAAACTGTTAAGAACAATTTTTCTGACGAGATAAAAACTGCCAAATGGAACTACTATAAGCAAATAAGGAATCTAGTCACAGCTTCTATTAGGCGCGAAAAAAAGCATATATTGAATACCAGCTAAGAAAAAGCAACAGTTCTCGGAGCTGGTGGAAAGCTATAAAGGAGCTAGGGATTCATGGTTCTAAGGGTAAAAGTAATCAGTGTACTTTGGAACCTAACATATTAAATAACTGTTTTGTGGATTCAGTTCCCGATAACTCAATAAATGAAACACTCTTAGAGTACTACAACACCAACATGCTACCAAGTATCAATGACCTATTTCAGATTAAGTTTGTTACCCAGGAAAAAGTCTTGAAGACCTTTCAAAAAATAAACTCGCGTGCTACCGGACTAGATGGATTAAATACAGATACATTTTCCTATATTCTTCCTTTTTGCCTCAAGGCTCTTACTCATATTCTAAACTTTTTTTTGGAACATGGTATCGTACCAGACATATGGAAAGCCACAACTGTTATTCCCGTCGGTAAAATCGATAATCCCCAATTGCCTTGCGATTTCAGGCCTATAAGCATATACTAAGTGACTTATAAATCCGAACACCCAGTTTAAATGGTTTTATTTTAATAAAAGTTGGTGAATGTATTTATCTTACTGTAAATAACAAGTGAAAAAATTTTCAGCCTTATCAGTTGGACATTCCGGTTTTTATACTGTTTTCTTTTAATTCACTAACGCTCTAAAAATGAATATTTCAGCCGCAGTAAAGAATCAACGTTGGCGGATTTTGGTTCTTGACATCCTTTACGATCGGTTACGATGCCTAGAGTACGGAGACCTGTACGATTTCGTCAACTTAGTGAGTTTGATAGGGGCTGTATAGTGGGACTTCGGGAAGCTGGACTTCCTTTTCGGGCAATTGCAGTTAGAGTGCAAAGAAGTGTAGACACTGTAGTTAGGTGTTGTCAGGCATGGCTTCGAGAAGGCCGTACGCAAAGAGCAAGGGGCACTGGATGCCGCCGTAGAACAACAGACCGTGAAGATCGCCGCCTAAGATTATTGGCCTTAAGGGACCGGTTCTCCACTACCAGGTCCATTGCAAATGAATGGTTTGCAGAACACGGAAGACCTATTGGCATGCGAAGTGTTTACCGACGAATGAGAAGTTTTGGCTTGTTTTCATACCGGCCACACTGGGTCCTCCCTTTAACTCGAGAACACCGACGTAATCGCCTTGAGTGGTGTAGACAACGGTTACTCTGGGATCAGGAATGGAACAGTATTGTCTTTAGTGGCGAGTCTCGATTTTGTTTAGGCATGGACGATGGTCGTGCCAGGGTTAGAAAGCGACGTGGTGAAAGGAGGAATCAACAGTTTTTTGTTGAAAGACATGTTCATCACACTGTTGGAGTTATGGTTTGGGGTGCTATAGCTTATGGTTCCAGGTCACCTTTAATCTTCATCAGAGGTAACATGAACGCGCAGCGTTATATCCACGAAGTTCTAGAACCCCGTCTTTTACCCTATCTTGACACCCTGGCAGATCCAACTTTCCAACAAGATAATGCCCGACCACATGTTGCAAGAGTCACAATAGACTTCTTTCAACATAATGATGTCACATTGTTACCATGGCCACCAAGATCTCCCGACTTATCCCCAATTGAGCACGTGTGGTATATGATGGGTAGGAGATTGCTCAATTTGCAACGTCCTCCTCAGACTCTAGAAGCACTTCGAGAGGAGTTGGTGGTTGTCTGGAATGAGATACCACAGGAGGACATTGACCACCTGATCAGAAGCATGCCTAGGCGCGTTGGAGAATGCGTAGCATATCAGGGTGCATCCACACATTATTAAAGGTCAAAGGGCTTTAAAGCAGTGCAATCATTTTGAAATTTTTACCATTTACTTATTATGCTTCATTCAAGTACTTATACAAAATTTTATTAAAATAAAACCATTTAAACTGGGTGTTCGGATTTATATGTCACTTAGTTTAGATGCAACCAGTAAATAAAAATCTTTCTGATATCGGACAGCTTGTGTGTACCGTTGCAGCCTACTGTAAAATAAAAATGCATATCCTTCCTTGCATGTACCTCAAGGAAGCGTCATTGTTTCACTGTTTCTAACGAGATATTAATTGCTCCTAAGGAGGCCTCAAGACATATCTATAAATCTGACCCTCGGTGCTGTAAGGGTAGATCTTCCGTTTGATAATCTGACTGTAGATTGGGCCAGTACAAAAAAAGAAGTGTAATATCATGGAATTTAATTGTGAGGACTCGGTTCACCATCACTTACTACCGGCAACAGTTGCGACAGATTTGCTTGGACGTAAACCAACTTGTATGAGCTTAGCTCACTAGTCTGTTAATGGCACCCGTTGCATCAGATTTATAGACTTGCGTGTTGTCTGCGAACATATGGACTTTCCATTGATATTTGAGGATGCTGAAAAGGTCTGCTGTATATAAACGGAGCAGTAAAGGCCCAAGTACGCTGCCTTGAGGAACCTCTGATGCAACCATCTTTTTACTAGATAGTTCTCCATTGAAATTCACTGTTTTCTTCCTAACTGTAACGCTGATGCCTTCACACCATAGTAAGACATTTTGGCTTCCAAAATATTGTAGTGAACACAGTCGAACGCTTTACTGAAATCCAGTAATATCGTTGATGTCACTTCTGAATTACGGATGGATGCGGTCACATCGTTGGTGTACATCAACGCTGACGTGATGCTCTGATGCTTTCTATAACATGACTGACCTTCAGGTAGAGTATTATTGATGTTTATATGACATACCAGTTCCGCTTCAACAATTCCTTGGGTTTACTTTTAACTAACACGAAATACACTGAGTGATAAAAAAATATATTCACCTACGTATGTTTATCAGAATTATTTACAAATTGATATATCTTGCCATGAACAATAAGTGATAAAATGGTCAGGTTTTACTGTTAAGTTTTCGTGGTGGCTGCGTGTATTGTTTGGTGATAAAGAACCATTCAGTTTTCGTACACTGACGGTGTTAGTTAAATGTTAAATTATAACTTGAAGTTATGGTCAGGAAACAACAACCTATTTCACGTATTTTTATGTACTTCTCATGACCGGTTCCCTATCTTCGCATCTCTCTAATATTATCTGTATCAGTCCACGAATACGTGCCTCTCCATTCTAATACCCTTATCCGATTTCATTTTCTAGTCCTCAATATCGCGTCCTTCAACAAACAGGGACCGTTCGAAAAGAGAGTCTTATTGTTTTCCCTTTCCATCCGGCCTCGATTTAATCTGGTCGCTGGCTATGAAATTTGATTTTATTTGAAAGGTGAACCAGCCTGGATTATTGGCTTTTACGGCTCTGCAGACCCGGTCCAGAACGGTCCGTTTGGCCGTTTTGCAATGAAAGAGTTTTTATTACATGTATCAGCCTCGGAAAAGCCGATAGAGCACACTAGCTTGTTCGTGTGTGAAGGCCCTTTATACTTTTAGATTACGCGATGTGCTGTGTTTGGTTTTTACATTGTCGGTTATTGGGATGTTAGTGGTATTGCTGCGGCCGAAGCGGTGGTGTTTGGCGGCCGCCGGCTATTGCTTGTGCAGGGCGCGGGTGGTAATATATATACTAAGTGACATATAAATCCGAACACCCAGTTTAAATGGTTATATTTTAATAAAATTTTGTATAAGTACTTAACGAAGCATAATAAGTAAATGATGAAAATTTCAAAATGATTGCACTGCTTTAAAGCCCTTTGACCTTTAGTAATGTGTGGATGCACCCTGATGTGCTACGCATTCTCCAACGCGCCTAGGCATGCTCCTGATCAGGTGGTCAATATCCTCCTGTGGTATCTCATTCCAGGCAACCACCAACTCCTCTCGAAGTGCTTCTAGAGTCTGAGGAGGACGTTGCAAATTGAGCAATCTCCTACCCATCATATCCCACACGTGCTCAATTGGGGATAAGTCGGGAGATCTTGGTGGCCATGGTAACAATGTGACATCATTATGTTGAAAGAAGTCTATTGTGACTCTTGCAACATGTGGTCGGGCATTATCTTGTTGGAAAGTTGGATCTGC